TCAACTTGTCATAAGGCGCTTCTGTGCTGGGTTGAGCGATGTGTTGCCGTACCTGCTCGGCGACTTCGCTGGTAGTACTGTACTCAAAATGCCAAATTTAGCTGTCTGTGACGTGAGCTTATTGCTAGTCAAATAATGCTCCAGTCGTGCAAACCAAAGATGAGGGTCTCTGGGCTTAAAGCTGGTACAGTAAGAGAAATAGTACTAACAGATTCCAGCTCTAAGTTATCGGAGGTATTGGAAGACATGTTACAATTCGTAAAAATGGTTTGAGAGTAGCAAAATAGCAAAGTTTTTGCACACTAAGGATATGTCAAAACAGTAGAAACATGCAATGCAGATGCTTACCGCAATTTACTGCAGGTTTTGCGATGAGATAGCACAAGAATGAGTTCGAAATGTCTGAAACTTTATTCTATCTTCATTTTCATCAACTGTCCCTTCACGCACAATAGCATGCAGTAACTACACACACTCAAGCATTGTAACCTGAACATCACAAAATTTCTACAGGTAACTTGCTTAATGATGAATGCTTTAAAGATATGAACCATAAGTGCACCTGCTATATCCTCCATACCCACAAGTAAATCATTAAGGATCTCAGAATATCTTAGTGATATAAAAATGAATAATTATTAAGAGTGATATAACTTACGTAACAGGTGTAGTAGTTGTAGGACACAGCTGCTAGCTACTATTCGACAGAAAGCTGATACTAATTTAAGCAATCTGACATTTAAGGAGGACCATCTGTACTATTCTTCTTGCCCCAATGCACACTCATATCAACATAATCTGATTCCATGTTATGCACTGAACAATTACGGTCTCCCAAAATTCTATGTAACAGTGTAGATTAAACTACTTTCACATCTTCGCCTGAGCAATTTTAGCTACGAACTTCATCGAAGTGGATATGATCAACATGAAATTCAGCAGCTTGTCTCATTCACTGCATGATCTCTTCGATACGTTATGGAAGATTTCTATCATCAAGGATGATTATAAAAGTGTTGAACATCCTCAAAACGTACATCTAATTTATTTCTGTGGGCTATTTCTCTTTTATTCTTACTTTCTTATAGAATAACTGTTATGAAAACGACCACTGCCTGCAGTGAATTTACAAACTTAAGATCTAAAACAACTAGCAAATAACGAAGCCTTAAGGCTATTAAACGCAAAAGACAGTCTTACTATACGAAATTTCTTATAAAGGATGACTTTTTTAGTAATAAATCGTCTGGGATATCAAGACAATTTTATCCATTATTACGAACACATAAAAATACATCTTTTTTCTGCTACAGAACCCTAAAACTAGTCAAATATAATCTATTTTCATAGAACTGAACCATTATAGCGCCTCTATAGGCGTGAACGCGATAACCCATACAGTGCGCAAAAATATATCTCGATAACGTTTATCCTCACGCAACATGCACATCTGGTCAAATTTGCCACATGGAGCAGAGTTGTCCTCTGTGTTCTGACAATTCTAAGAGTACGCTACAATCTGCCAAGATTTATAGTGCCGAAAAAACAGTATAAATATCTATATTTGTCGTGTAGTTGTATATGTTATCATCATTGAAAGCCACAAGGGACAGGCAACCAAGAGTGACAGATACCACGGCGAAATGACCTTGAAGTGACCATTCACATTTTTCCAAGTGAAAAGCTACTATACCAGATAATTATTTCGACAGAAACTCGTAGAATTTTACATCTCAGTGACCCTCTTCAAGTACTCAAGAAACTAATGCGTTTTGATTTTCATTATATGTCTTCATCCTTGAAATCGGTTTCGCCATGTTAAGGATGAGGACTTTATGCATTAATTCCCACCCCTGATGGAAAGCGATCATGGTATAATCTGCTTCCAGTTTATTGCTGCTGCCAAGATATCACTAGCTGGAATATCAAATCGGCTAAAAGTGTTGCAAATAAATGCTATATTCGCTAAAACTTTGTGAGAAGAGTAGACGAAAGGAAAGTGGTCACATCTACTTCGTTAGCCGACGATAAGCTTACAAAAGATAGAAGGTTGCCCAGGGGTTTGCTCAACCCTACCCATAAACAATGACTTCAGTGCAACAGTGACAACAAAGCATGGAACAAGTATAAGACTGAAATTATTTTTCACCAGAATCAATTAACCAAATTAATGGTGGCCGGTGAAGGCCTTCAGGAAGCCAGCTGACTGATTTGTATTTTTTCGGAGAAACAAAAGTGAGCATAGCGAAATGGAGCGTACACACAATGTTTGAGATTGCCTAAAGCGTTCACTTTGCGAAAAATGTGAAGATCTAATACAGATATATCGGGAATCTGTAATCGCAGATGTAATGTTAACAGATGAGTCAATTAATTGGTTGCGTCACGCAGACTGCAACCACAAGCTCATTGGGAGTGTGGCTATTACTATGTCACCTACAGCACTGAAGGTCCTCATGAAGTCAAAATCATTCATGAAAGCAAGACTCATGCGGAGGGTGGTGAGTTTATGATCATATTGCATTGCACTCTAAAAAATAGACCTAGAAAAAGTGGTGAAGACAAACAGTTGCAGACAGTGGTAGAAGGAACTTCAGCCCAGTAGCAGAATCAAAATTCCAGTGGGTGACATGAATATAAGAAAAAACTGGGAGCAGAAAACACGTTAGCAGAAATAACCACCGGTCGAGAGGCGTTCAGTGAACTTAATGAGAGTTTCTTACAGACTTCTTTGTCTTCGCTGATTTGGTGATTGGAAGCAGCGTATACAAGCACAGCGATATACAAGGCGACATCTTTTTCGCAAAACAGACAACGAAAATTAGGCAAACCCTATCTTAGTATCCAGAAAGTGCAGAAGCAACGAACTTGACAAATCACTGAGGAAGGAAAGCAGTCGCTGATTCAAAAGCATATCTAATGCGAAGAGCCTCCCAGGTCAAGCTGAAAGACCACAATTCAAAATTGATTTTCAGTTACTGAAACATGAGGCGAAAAAAGGGACTTTCCCATCAGTCAACAAGAAAATATTCAGAAACACTTAGTAACCTAATCCGGAGTGCCTCCGTTCATGAATATTAGAATGGTGAGGCAGAAGATGAACCGGTGCAAAGGTGAGCAACGCATAAAACGTGTCAAAAATACCGTAACTGGGAAGTGCAAAACTACCAGTGTATACCAAGCCTTCAAGAAGAGCAAATATTTCGAGGGCCATAATGTTACCGAGACCCAGAAGTAAAGTAGGGCCTGAGAGAATCCTTTAGGAGCACTGGAATAGGTACCAGAGGCCTCAGTGGATACAATGACGCCACTGCTATAAGTTCTAAAGAAAAGCAATGTATCACCAATAGACCGAAAAGGGGGCTACCTTGATAGCTTGAAATTGAAGGATGACTTAACCTATCGCCGGAACTGACACGACATCATGCGTCTGTCCTTTACAGGTAAAATATTGAGTCGTATCATACTTAGGAGATTAAAAGATTCCATGGATTCAGGAAAATCAAATCAAGAACGGATCAAATTACAATACTACGCATCATTATTAAATTAAGAAGAGGAGGGCAGCCACCCCTCTACCTAAAATTCATTGACTTTGTAAAGTTTGCCGACAGCTTGAACAATTGTGAAACTCGTCTAAAACTATGAAGTGTCTAACCTTTATAAATCTCACTTGACAGTTACATAATGGTGATACCACATGCTAGGTAATTTGTAACATCGATTTTAGTAAGGCTTTTGGAGTGAAAGCAGGTGTTAAGTAAGGTCGGCTACTAAAACCGATGGCCTTCCTGGTTTTGGTGAACCGCATAGTGAAAGAGACGGTCGTACGTCGAGATATTGAAGAGATCATTGACGATGTGGATTTCTTAGATGATCACTTCATCTCACATAGAGTCGTAGATTGACGAGCGTAAACTCACAATGGAATTACACTGTACCATAGTGCACAAGTTCTGTCCTTGTATCAACGGAAACCAACAAGCTGGGTGAAAAGACAAGTAAGACAGGATTCCAGGCTACCATTTGAAGCCAAAACACCTGTATAGCCTGCTACGAAGCTTCTTCAATTTACGCCTTTTCTTGAGGTCGAGGGTCAGATGACCAGTTGAAAGTGATAAGCAAAAAGAAATGGTAGTACAGAACCAATCGAAAACCTACTACCAGATAAATATTTAGAATTGAACTGAGATGAAGTGAACATATACCGAGGAGACGGTTGAGTAATACCTCATTTCATACTTTCTAGTGGAAGCCATTGGGAAAGTGACAGGGTTCGTGTGATAACGAAGGGACCGTATGAGGAAGAAATGAAAGTTCGTGTGCATTCATGGATCTATCTGAAGGTGCTAACAGAGAACTGAGTAGACTGGAGATGTATTAAAAACCCCAATGGTCCGAATAGGTAGCAAGGACAGAATAATAACAATGACGCTGCAGCTGCATCTGAAGGGACTGTGCACTGCTGTGTGCCATTACCAACTTTACGAAGATCACCACAAGAGACGAAAACATGGCCATCCTAAATGATAAAGTTGGATCTGATTATTTTGTGCTAAATGCCCAGACTTCTTTCTAACTTTAGGGACCTGAGAAATCGGGAAGTTACACTGAGCAGATGAAATTAAAACTGTTACAGAGCTGCCTCATTCATGGATGGATTTCTAGGTGAATCTGGCTCAAACTGTCAAAGAAAAACATCTTCAAAATTACGAAGAAGTCTATGTGAACTTGATCTCGTTCACTTTCTTACTTCCGTCGCACCAAAATATTTTAGAGAATATTGCAGTTAACTTCCAAAGCCAAGAAGGAACTATATTACTGTCGGGTACAGGTTCTCCCGGCATGTGATCACTTCTTCGAACTACCTCCAAAAAGAACTGATGACTGAAAACCTAGTGGACACATTCACGAAGTTATCTAACAGAAACAGCTACTCACCTTAAAAGGATTAAAATTAGCTTAGTAGGCAATAAAATATTTTGATTCTGAAAGCTGAGCGGGGTATTCGGAAAGTGCGTTGCATCTGAGGGTCAACTTGGTATTATGTCTAACCAGGCGGCTACTCATTGTCGTGGGTTACAGTTCGGTGCATTCTCTAATGAGATTCAAGATGTCACTCAAGCGTGTGAAATAAATCATTCTGCCGAAATTATACCCTGCATAGCTCAATTATACCGAAATGAACTCTTCAGTGATGTTACTTTGGTTGTTCAAAATACACACTTTCCTGCACATAAAGCTATATTAGCAGCTCGTTCCGATTATTTTAGAGCATTGTTTTATGGAGGAATGGCAGAGTCTAGCTCAAGTGTTGTGCATCTGAACGACATTAATGTAATTGCTTTCAAAAATATCTTGCGTTACATGTACACTGGTCAAATAAAGCTAAAGAAGTCTAAGGTATGTTCACTTCGTTTTTTGCTTTTGCGACTAGTGAGTAACAACAGTGTTATCACATACGGTTTAAGTTAATATATAACCAAGTCCAACTCTGTGTGTATTATTCAGAAATTATATGGGCTGAAGTTTTCTAGCTGTTTGGCTGCTCTATCGTTAACTATTTCAGATTATAAAACGATATTTCTCGTCTAACTGTGTAGGAGCTTTAGGGAAGCGGTAACAATTAGTGATGTCTATCAGGAATGCTTTCCACCATCTTTACTGAGTTTGAAAAAAACAAGAACAGTTTGCGTAAAGATTTCAAATTCAGATTAATTGGTTGAGGATAGAAGGCTTGGAGCCTATGTTAATCCTCTTCTAGTATATTTCTGTGCTTGTACAAACCCTTGTTGAATGGATCAGTTGAGGTTGCAGACCACTTCTTCCGAGAGTTGGTTTCAGCAGTTAATGACTCGGCGTGAGAACCAGCACTCTACAGCATTTTGGTTTCTCCTTGGATTTTGAACTCTCGTGCTATGTTTCCTAAGGTGTTCCGACCTGTTGGGAAGGAAAAGAGAGAATAGATGAGGTCCGTAGTCATTATATAAGATTTTAAACATTGTGATTAAATCTCCTCTCTGCCTACGATATTACAGGGAGAAGAGATTTGAACTGTCTCATCTTTCCTTGTATGATAAATTAATCATGTCGAGACTCATACGTGTTGCCTTTCTTTTGACCCTTTCTAGAATATGTAAGTCCTTTTAAGATAGGGACTGGCTGCCTGGATAGTTTCCTAATCTTGACCTCACCATATATATATATATATATATATATATATATATATATATATATATATGAGGCGAATATATCTGGTGCTGCTAATTGCTCAGAAGGATCTGAAAATACGTGCAGCCACCGCGCGACAGTGTGCTTTAGTTTTTAAATCGTGACTTACTATGACATCAAAATCCAAATGAATCTGAACTGATGGGAGTGTTATTCCCTCTAGTTCTTAAGAGCTGATGCTTGCTTGTCCGATGCGCATGGTTGCACACCTGGCTACATTCATCTAAAGCATCCATTCTCTGGACCGCTCTAACAATTTGTTGAAGTCTCCTTGCAACGTGAGCGTACAACTGTTGCCCTTCAGCTCTCTCCAGATTTCTAAGTCGTCTGTATATAGGATCATAGGGGAATCGGTGAGCAGAGGTAACTCATTGATATACAAAATAAATAGGAGAGGCCCGTGCCTTGTGGCACTTCGCTACCCACTGCTGTCCAGGAGGAGAGTTTCGAGTGGATCCTAACCCTCTGCCTCCTATCTATGAGGAGTTCCCTATCCCTGCCTTTGATACCAAGACTTTCCAACTTAGTGAATAGTGTCTTGTGAGGAACTTTATCGAAGGCTTTGCTGAAGTCTATGGAGACGACGTCAACAAGTCTTTTGTCGTCCCTTGACTTGACCCAGCTTTCTCTTGCAGTGAGGAGATTTGACAGGCATGAGAGGTTTCTTCGGAAGCCATGCTATGCTCTGGATAACAAATTGTTGTTTTCCAGATATGCTGTGACACTTTTCTAGATGATTCTTTCCATTGTCTTGATTAAAGTGCTGGTAAAGTTAATAGGCCTATAATTTGAAGGGCTTTGTCTTGATCCTCCTTTGTGGATGAGGGTTTCTATGCCGTCTCTCCAGTCAAGCGGTAACAATCCATTTAGGAGAGAGAGAGAGCTTGAAGATCGTGGTCAATGGGCCGGCTGTGTGAGCTGATAGTTCATTTAGAAGCCTTGGATGAAATTTATCAGGACCCATTGATTTCTCTACATCTAGTTTCATTAGGCAGTTGAGCATGATGTCTTGGTCGACGTCAACGGAATCTATCCCATGCTCCTCTGATGCATCCAGAGCTGATCCTATGGGGAGTAACGACTCCTGTGTAAAGACTTGGGAGAAGTAGTTTGCCATTGCTTCTGCTTTTTCTTGATCTTCTTCGATTGTGTCATTGTCAGTAGTTAGGTTTGGGACAACATTGGATAATTTATTCCATAAGTTCATGTACAAGAAAATTTTCTTAGGTCGTGCTGTTGCATTTTGAGCCAGATTTACTTCGAACTTCATCCTTGGTTGGCGGATTTCTGCAATAGCTTTGTTCCTAGTGGTGTTGTATAATTTCCTGGTCTCAGGAGTCTCAAGTGTGGCAAACAGGTTCCAACATATGTGTTTGCGTCTGAGTAACTTACAAATCTCTCGGTTTATCCAAGGGGGGCAATGTTTCCGATCCTTTGGGACAGACCAAGGGATGAAAGGTTCAGTTACTTGGGCGTAAAGTTGTTTAAATTGATTCCATGCGGCTTCTACTTGGGACTCTGGGTTGATGTACCAGTTCACTGGGTTGGCTGCTGAGACGATCGCACTTATATCAGCTTCCCAAACATTTGGTCGAGCTGCGGTTTTGGCCCATGATGCTGGTGTTGTGAACTTGGAAGTGAGCACAGTGAGAATTTAAAAAGCGCTTCTTTTTCAAATGAGGTAGAATTTATGACATTTTATACCTTGCAGTCTCTAGCGGAGTTTGTTTCAAAGCCGTAAGGCATCAGTGCGTGTTTTTTTCTTTGCATGCTTTCCTCATGTCTTTTTCTATACTTATATTTTGTATCTATGTTTAGCTTACTCTTGAAATCTTGGGCCTTGCTCACCAGTATAATTTTCACAGTCTAGAAAGTGCACTGTCCACGTACTTAACACATTCACTCTGTCTAAAGAACGTATGGTGTGTTTTTGACATGGCTGTAATGTACAATCTGGATGGACTTATTACAGCCTGTTTAAGATTCTTAGATTGTCTTGCTCCTGCTCCTCTATGTGATCCACGCTTCCTGAAGTTATCACAGGTTAGTTTCTTTAAATTGTTTTTCTGTCTATACATGTATCTGCGTTAATATAGTTAGTTAGTTGGGACTCAATTCCCTGGGAAAGACTTTTCATGTACCAGACTATGAACTGCATATACTGTATTAGGGATGATGTTAGTACCCATTTGTCGAGGCTGAAATAGGCGGAGTAGACTAACTCCAATTACGTATGGTTCCATGTACTTGTATTTGTTGTCATGGTTCACTTTTACCACCTAAAGAAGTTGCTACATTAATTACTAAAGTTCAGACTATATTCATCTTCCACCAGTCTGACGTTTATTATCATTATTAAAACAAATATGGTATGTGGACATTAATAGAAGCGCCACACAATATGTTATGGTTTATGTGAGGACTAGAGTACTGCCCGGACGCCTAGACCGAAACAGATAGTTGTCTTAAGTAGCCGTTCTCCCAATTGAAGTTCTACCCACAAGTCGATGGAGCAGCATCAGTAGCTGCGTTCCCATGGTTCGCAGTAACCAAAACAGGTTTTTCAGCTCCCCTAGTCAGGCTTATATGTCCACCACTCCGGTTGTAAGCGCCAGACATTGGGATTTGCTTTTTCACTGTGAGTGACAGCTATGCCACATGAAAACAGTTAGTAGGACTTGTCTGGTAGATACTATGAATGCGTGGCTACATGGGAGTATTTCGAGACGGAGACCAGGCCGTAGATTTGGGGGTGGGATGGGATGGGGGTTGACGGTTACTTATGACTGTAGAAAATATTTCTATTTATTGTATTATACACAGTCCAAAATCACATTTTTATAATACTTGGGAATTTGTATGGATGTATACTGGTCATCTTCTGTTGTGAGACGTATATTGTCAATAATGTGGATTTTTCTTCATACTCTTAAAAATGTAGTTTCGCTGTGGTTCTGTTATAGTACCTCTGGAGACAGAACATTCCCTTCATCAAATGATCGAGAATGAAGGGCCCTATTCATCGTTTAGTACTAGCAATAGGGAAAGATGAGTCGTGTATTTCAGAGACTAAATTCATGAATGTGCTTTATTTAAGGGTTAAATATGACCGACGATTATGTTTGTAATGAACTGTTAAAAGATGAATCGAAGCTTTCTCTGACATTGATTTTTATATTCTCCAGGTTCTTCGAGTGTATTGCTCTCTTTTCGTAATTCGTATACTCTTCAATTCTCTAAGCTATAGCCTCGCCGAAACTGTAACATTTATGGTTCTTATCTCACTGATTTGTGTATCTGATAGTCAAACACGAGTAGTATAAGAGCCCTATTTGACTAATCAATTATTGTAAGTGAAATGATGTTGACACATGTAGTCCATTTGTTGGTATTCGACCATCCAACTTCTGGGAAATCATTTCTTATATGGTTAGCTGTATCAGCTTACAATCAAATGTAATTAATAGTATTATTTTTTGTGTTTCAGTCGTCTGTTGAACGTTTGCTATCTCGTGATAGCTTTTATGCTCCCGAAATCAAGATATTTCGTGCTGTATGCGCTTGGTTAAAGCATTTTAATAAAGTTAACAATGAAACAGCTGATAAATCACATTTGTCAGATAATCCTCAGTCAGATGTTGATAATGAAGTGGGACAAGAAGAGTTATCAAGTGAAGTTAAAGCAGAAAGCAACAACTTGTCATTCTCAGCACTGTTAAATTCATCAGTACAGCAAGAGAAGAAATCATCGAACAGAGGTATGTTAAGCATGTTTTGTTTTCTCTGTGATATCCAATCATATCTAGTTTTCGAGCTAAAATATGTAGTTGTCGCCAGTTTTTTATTTTTCATTATGTATTCCGGTGCAAAGTGGACAGACCGAGCTATATTAGCTATAAAAGCAGTGAATACGGAGGTGTACCTGATAGTTGTTTTGTAGTGAGTTAGTACTCTGCAGTAGCGCACGCATATGAACTGGCGAGAAATCAAACGATCAGGTTACTGACCTCTTACTGAATCATATTCCGGTGACTAGCAACTGCAAATCTCTGTTAGTTCGTCAACTTCGGTGCTATTGATGGGTAATCATTTTCACATTTGACTTAATAGAGCACACCAGTTGCTTCTGTTCAGGACTTTGGCAATTCAGTTTCGAAGTAAGTCTTCAGTCTTCCTTAGATTAATTTTCAGGTGTGAGATTTGTGAAGAGTTGATTAATAAGGAAGATACACTTACTAGACCACTGGCTTTAATACTGACTTCTTAAAGTTTTTTTGAGAAGTAAGTAACCAATGGAATGGGACGTGTGATGACATACTTAAATGACAGTTAATAGTATTACTGTTTCAAGGATTGACAGAAATTATACGCTCACCTCAGCGTGTCAGTTCTTGTTTCGTCCCCTTGCAGCATTATAGGTGCAGACCACTGAAGAGTTTCAAGCTAGAGAGGAACATTTTTGTATTTACCTCGGCTTTTAGTGGATTTTTAACTAGTGTTGGTGTATGATGAGGTCTAAAGCATTGGGGCTAGTAAATTTAGTTAACCAAGTATAACCCATTCACTTACGTGATATCACAGCCTTCAAGTGTAAAATAATACTTATATTCGGAAATTCACACACATTGACGCCTCGTCTTAATTTTTTTAAAAACCGTACTGTAATGCATTTTCTGTTTACTTTAATCTCTTCCCTATTTTGTATTCCGATACTTTCATCTACATGTTTCGTCGCATTTATTTTCTTTACTTTCTATTCTGTGTAAGAGAATGCAGTGTGTTTAACTTTTTTTTTAATTTTTAATTAATTTATTTATTGTAGCTTGATTCCACACAGTACTTTGTTACAAGTATGAAATTTTCAGCATGTGATATCGGTAGCCCAAATTTAGCAGGCCGACCATAGATATCAGGTGTGCGTCGGTGCGGGATCGAACCTCGGGCCATGTGCATGGTCGGCGAGAGTCCTAACCACTGTGCCACCGACGCAATTCAACTGTCCTGCGTTGTTAATGTCAGACTATATAGTTGTCGAGTTTGGACTTTTTACACAATAGATTTAATTTTCCACTATTGTTTATTGTTTCAGAGTTTCACCAGTCTGCATAACTCTTTCAAGTAGAGTAACGCTAAGAATTTAGCCGAAGTTGTGATGTGTTTATGCAGTGCTTATCCTATTGAAAATCTAAACCAAGAAAGGTTAGCATAATATAATGCTAGCTTAATGTGGAACGCTAAAGCTGGTTTGTGGTGGAATTTGGACTAGTTGTCCTCAGGTAGTCTTCACAATAAATCAAGATTAAATAAAGAGAAATGTAGTGGTAAAGAAGTAATATAGGAAAAGCAGTACCTTTTAAAACTCCACTTTCATATTACAAATGATTTGTAAATGTAATAGGATCCGATAATCGTTTTTAGTGTTGAAACATACCTTGTTATATGAAGTAAAATAAATTTGTCTAAATTATGTGCTCTCAGATTATGCGTACAATAAGGCATCAAAATAAGTTAAGTTATCTAAGAGTATATGTTGCACAATGCACAATTCGACAATTATTTTGTTTCAAAAAGCCTTACAAACGTTAGGATATAAATCCTACTCTATACTGTAAGCCCGACCGAAAGCTGCTACCTTGACGTGGTGGTCGGCCTTGAACACCGCAACGAACCAACAAGCTATACTGGCTGAGACTTATGTCGCTTGAGGTCCTACTATGCCAGAAAGGTTGTTTGGATAGCGGTTAGACAAAAAGCAATTACCCAACCCAATGCTATGACTCAAAGTAAATCACAAAATATCATGCCGGATCGGTCGGGGCCCGGATTAACAACGACCGCGCTTCCTGCTGCCGTGTCACAGGGCAGAAGTGATAAATATGCTACTGAGACACACCAAATGAAAAAGAACAAACAAAAACAGGCCGCGTGTGACCGGCCTCAAGCAGTTGTCCCTGGGTTCTGCGGTCACGCAACCAACTTCCACGGTGTGGGCAGCAGGGAAGTAACAATCGCCCTGACAATCCGAAGTGCACGCAAAACCTCTCTAATCCTCACTCATCTTTGCCTTCATCTTCATCTCTATTATCTTGCTTTCCTTCTACTAATGCAACTCCTCTACTTGATGACCTGTACTGTAAGATATATTAAAAAGGAAAGCATTAGTTTCCTTAGAATTTTCTCTTATGGTACTCATATTTATAATGTTTTTTGTCTTCCCTGTTTTTCACTAAAGATGTCGACAGTGATCGAGAATCACTGATGGCGGTTACTTCAGAAGAACTTCGTAATCATCATATGATGAGTCAGTGTGTTCGATTCGAATTAATGTCACTTACTGAACTATTAACTGAAGTTCGTTCATCGAAACTTGTTAGCTCAGAAGAATTGTTAGATGCTATCAATCGACAGACTAATTGTCCTGCTGAAGTACCTCATCGTGGATGGCTTTGTAAGTCGATTTTATGCTTTGGGTTTACTTTCCTTTGTACTTCATTAAGTAATTATTCTTTTAATTAATATGTTAACAGTTAGTATACTTGTTATTTGGAGCTGCGCACTGATAAAGAGTCAACAACTAGGACGAAACAGCTGTTCAGTACTTGCTGTTTTTCGCTAATCTCTAACGGATATTGATTCGTGACGAAATCACTGAAATTAATTCAAATCCTTATAAAAGTTAATAATTTAGTGTGGAATTCGGTTGTGTTTCCTGGATGACAAGTAGTATACGTATCTTTCTGAAAATTAAGCATATTTTTCATATCAAGTTGCTTTCAGTTAGAAATGAATTTCTGAACATTTACTTTTTGTAGTATTCTAGGACTCCATCTTTACCATCTTAAAGTGGTGTAATATGCTGAGTAATATTGAGGTTAGGCACAGAGTGAATTATTTATTTATTTATTTAAACGCAGAAAAAAAAACTTGGCACAATATGGCACCAAGAAAGATGCGCCACACAATAATAATAAAACAATATAGACTAGAAATAAAAAATATAAGTAGAGAACGGGTGAAGAACTTCATCTGGAAAGAAAACAGTCATACTTAGCAAGTTCAAACAATCATCGGGAAGGGAAGAAAAAAAGAAATTACAACACGTTCGCCATTGATTACGATTCTTGGCCATATCCGATAACGTTTCGAGCCATCGATTCGGGCTATCTCGCGGACCCCAACCAGGGAGCCGGTGTTTCCAGATGACGACACTCAGTGAATGGTGATCTCCACTGTGTTCAAACACACGCCGCCGAAACTCAGAATTACTCACGCGATGATACCACCTCCGCAAGCAAGCCTGCGGAGACAGCGATGATCGAACACGCAGAGTCGCCGCACATCCTCAGCTCGGAGAGGCCAGGTTTCACAGGCGTAGGGCAAGACAGCCCGCACCGAAGCATTGTATACCCCACCTTTGACAGCCAGGCTAACGTCGCGACGGCGCCAGAGGTGGCTGAAGTTGATGTATGCCATCCTAGCCTTCATTATACTGCTGGAAATCTCATCCATCACCCCTCCGCCAGCACTCACACAACTACCCAGATACACAAACTTATCAACAACTTCAAGCGGTTCACCCGCAAGAGTGAGTGCAGGTACAGGCTCTTGCCAACCTTGTAACAGTACTTTGCACTTAGACGGCGCAAAGTACATACCATACTTACAAAAATAAGGAGGAGAAATTAAAAGAACTTGTATGAACCGTAATGTGCGAGAGAGAGAGAGAGAAAAACATGAAGATTTATAAAGTCTGGGAGATTACTAAGATCGGGGATATTTGTGTTAGGTTAGCATCGGTTGGTGCATCATGGCTCCCTGGTTGGAGTCCAAGAGATAGCTTGAAACAAAATCGGATATGGTCAAGAATTGCTACCAATGGCGAACGTTCTGCTATTTCTTTCTTACTCCCCATCACGACAATAATTGGCGAATGCTGCTTGAACTTGTTTGATATGACTGTTTTCCTTTCAGAAGAAGTACTTTATCCGTTCTCCACGTTTATTTTTTACTTTTAATCTATGTCGTCTTATTATTATTGTGTGGCGCATCTTTTTGGTACCATATTGTACCGAGTTTTTGTGTTTAAATAAATAGAATAAAATAAATTCCCTGCTTTTTTGTGCTACCTAGATTGTGATAACTCAGGAAGCTGCACTTTTGTACGAAGTTGTAAGCTGGGAATTCATTCCAGTTCTTTTTAATTATTGTGCCGAAAACAGTCGATGTCGATGTGAATTCTTGGGAGATATTCATCATGTGACTATGTTGCCAGGAGTCAGGACAAATACTTGCTCATGACACTGTCTGGTAGTCGCGCTAATATCACAAACTGATAGAAGCTAGAATTCATGAGGCATATTGTTACATATTTATTATTAGAAATTTGATTTTGTTATGATCATTTTTTAGTTATCAATTGTTTTTTTTTTTGCCTTTTTGCAAAAATATCTATAGTACCAGGTGTGAATTTGGCATCACCTCGTTTCGGATGTACCTTGATCTCTGGTGAACATGGAACTTATCCACACTTTTTTGTTGAAAATCCACTTGACTTAGAGGAATCCAATGATGCTAAATTGAATATTGAATCTCTGAGTCTAAATGAACTGAACTGTCATGATTCAGACTATTCAGATAGAAATGAAGAAGACGACGATGCTGTGGATGATATTGACGATGGAGATGAGGCAGACGACATCGGTGGTGGAGGAGGAGGGCATGGTGAAGCATACAGATGTCAACAACAACAACTACGACGAAGAAACAATGACGATGATGATGATAATACTCACATGCCAACTATAGATATGTCTGATGTGGCAGGTAATATATATAACTAGTCAGTCGTAATTAGCATAGTAAATTCTGTTTCTAAAGCTGTCACTAATCTGAAGCAAGGCAAAGCAGCAGGACCTGATGGATTGACTCCAGAGGTATTTAAGTACGGTGGAGACAGTTTACTGTCTGCGTTAACTGAGGTTCTAGGCAGCGTCTGGGAATCAGAGGAAGTCCATCGGGATAGTGTAAGTCACTGGATCATCTCGATAGACAAGAAGGGAGACAAGTCTTCTTGTGATAATCACAGAGGGATTAGCTTGACTAATATAGTATCTAAAATCCTA